GGGCAGCTGGCCAGGCTGACCGGGGACATTCCGGGAAAGTATTTTCTCCTAGAAAAGGGATGACGTATGACCAAACCCTAACTTTTACACTCTCTACACATTTCAAATGCTTCTGCTGCTCTATCTGGAGAGCACTCCTCTCTCTTCTTGATACTGACTTAAGCATCAGAGACTCTACGCCGGAAATCCCTCTGGCGTTTAGTTCTTGTAGGTGTTCATGGCGATCCAGAGGCGGTTCAGACAGATCGGGGCTCATCTCAACCGGTTAACTCCAGATCCATCATTTTGACGCCTTCTGTGGGGAGTTCTTGAGGGAAGAAAGAGCTTCATTGTAACACTCCACCTAAAATTACTAAAACTAGAGTAAATCTTTCACGCTTATAATTTGAAACAGTGATTTAATTTTCAAAAACTCTTATTAACTTTTTCGAAAACACATTAACTCTAACTGTGGGATGCTACTCAACTTTAATATATATATATATATCTTAAATCTTTTATCTCTTTAAACTATTACGCATGCAACCAAGTAAGATTCATTACTATAATCAGGCACCATGACAATACTAGATTTGCACATGCATAGTCTGAAATCTGAAATATTGGTCTGAAATACGAAAGCAAATAATAGTTTGAATTCACAAACATACATAATTAATGCAACATGTTCAAATATGCTACTTGACATATTTTTCACAAATATCCTTAAGCTTTGACCACCATCACTTCTCCAGCTCACGCGCCACGCGAGACTCCGTCACTTGAACAATGGTTAGTGGGGGGCGTGAGCATAAAGAAACCACATGCTCCGCCAGAACCGGAACTGAATGCATAGCTAATATAATAACATATTATGACATCGGCATATATGCAAGTACCTACTAGGGGTGGCAGAAACGATACAATAATGTAACGCCCCGTTTTATTTTTAAGAATTTACTGAATTTATTTGATAAAAATCAGAGTTATTTTTTTTAAAAAAAATCCAAGTTAAAACCTTTTTCGAGAAACGGGCGCTACTTCCTAACATCAACCAACAACACACATGCACGAGCTAACAATAAAACAAGTACCAAAACATAAGTCTCAAACCATTTTAAAAGGTCTAGCCTTATTCAAAGTTCAACCAGATCCTACACATACATAAGCCAACAGTTATACAAATAAACCAGCTTATTCAAGTCTCAACATTATCCAAAAAGTTTAACATAAATCCATAGTTCATCCAACACAAACATGATTTCAAGCTGAAGCATAAATAATCCAAAATAAAAGCAAGTAGTTCATCATATAATAAAAATAGGCGGAAGCAAAGACACATCAATTAATCACCACCATCTCGCTCGTCCTACGCCACCGCCTCCAGCTCGTCTCAACCTAATACAAAGGAAGAGAGAAGACAACAAGAAAATAATGGGGGTGAGCATAACCAACAAGCTCACCATTATCGCACAGTATATCTCGCATAACATTTTTTTTTTAATTCTACATTGAACAAGCCGGAAAAGTTTAACACCCAAAACAAAATTTAAAAATAAATATAGGAAGTCTAGAGTTCGCCACGAAACACTAGAGTTCGAAACAATTCAATGGTGGATAGACTCCACTCCCGGTTTCCATTGACCGGGTTCAACAAGCGACTAATAGTTATACACACAATAGCCACAGACTTCCGAATAACCCACTCACCCGGGACCTCTTCGGTTGTCTGCTCCACTTACTTAAGCCTTCTCTTCCGAGATGGCTTGTGAATGGCCTTAACATGAAGACACTAATCAGAAACTCATAACGATAGCACTTCTATAAACCGAACTTCACTCGATAATATCCAATCGAAAACTCACAACAAAAACCTCTAAAGTTGGAACTTAACTCTATACCACTAGAGTTCAAGTCCGCATAAACGGAGGGTAAATTTCTAAGCCCCAATAAAAGAACAAACCATAATCACGTCATTCGCAGTAATCAAAACAAATAAACTCATACCTTGAGCTGGCGAGGCGTGATGAAGCGAGTGGTCGAATGGTCACTAAACACTTAATCAAATATGAACCAGTCTACAGAAAAGCAAGACTGGCTCTGATACCAAACTGTAACGCCCCGTTTTATTTTTAAGAATTTACTGAATTTATTTGATAAAAATCAGAGTTATTTTTTTTAAAAAAAAAATCCAAGTTAAAACCTTTTTCGAGAAACGGGCGCTACTTCCTAACATCAACCAACAACACACATGCACGAGCTAACAATAAAACAAGTACCAAAACATAAGTCTCAAACCATTTTAAAAGGTCTAGCCTTATTCAAAGTTCAACCAGATCCTACACATACATAAGCCAACAGTTATACAAATAAACCAGCTTATTCAAGTCTCAACATTATCCAAAAAGTTTAACATAAATCCATAGTTCATCCAACACAAACATGATTTCAAGCTGAAGCATAAATAATCCAAAATAAAAGCAAGTAGTTCATCATATAAAAAAAATAGGCGGAAGCAAAGACACATCAATTAATCACCACCATCTCGCTCGTCCTACGCCACCGCCTCCAGCTCGTCTCAACCTAATACAAAGGAAGAGAGAAGACAACAAGAAAATAATGGGGGTGAGCATAACCAACAAGCTCACCATTATCGCACAGTATATCTCGCATAACATTTTTTTTTTAAACCATTATAACCATAGTATTCAGTATGCATAGAATCCAACAGTCTAACTCCCTACTTGGCCCTATCGCAAACCTCCTATGTACATACAACAACCTTTCGATCACACACGGCAAGGAAGTAACTGGAAACCTTCCCATCACCGAATGGCTACGGGCTTGGGATCCTTTCCAGGAGACAATAGAGATATTTTTCCCATTCACGAATATCATACGGACCTGGGCGTCACCTCTCCGAATCTACGGGCCGATGACCTCTCACTGTTTATGCATTCCTCAAAGGCACTAACATACGGGACACTTAGACTAGGGTTCTCACGCATACATCATTTTTCAAAACAAAGCATTTATACGAAATATTAAGTGCGATAAATATGGAATACATCATAAATGTACCCACCTGATAGCAGCAACAGTTCAAATCACAAATCTCAAGACGAGGCGAGGTTCAACACCTCTCGACACCTACATTAAGTCCAGATACTAAAGTCAACACTTTAATCTAGACCTATGTAGCAAATTCACAAGTTGACTTAGTCGAACTCGGTTCGACCAAGTGGTTCGTGAAGTTCTGTGGATATGGGAACACTAGGACTTAGACTTGATCAAACCACATATCTAAGATCACACAAATTCAAATAAAAGACATTTAAACAAGCCACAAAGAAACACATAACAAGTTTGGTCACCAACACTTAACCAAAAATTATTATTGTAAAACAATTGTCAAAATTCACACTTGTATTAGAAGGTCCATCAAACCAACGACTTAGGCTCTGAAAATTTTACATAAACTTCACCTCCTAGAACTTAGAAAAATCACCAAATTTCAGCCTCAAACTCGTTATACACAATTTTATAAAATTCATAGAAGTAAACAGCAAAAACAAAACATAAATTCATATCCATTCCAAATGAATGAATCACGACTTGAAATTTTAACAACAAATATTTCAGCATGTGAAAATCATCATGTAAAAATTCCAGCAATTAACATTAAATACCCGAATTTTAAAAATTCATACAAGTTCCTGCAGTTTTCGAAATTTATTTAAAATCGAACAAATCTGAACTCCAAAAATTCCCATCTTTTTACAGCATGAAACTCAACACAAAATAAGCATATAAACCAAAAATCAGAATTTTTCAGCAACTAAACGATTTTTCATAATTAAAACAACATTCAGCAGATTACCCGAATAATTTAATTACCCTATCTAACTCAGTCCAAAAATTCCAAAACTTTTACACAACATAAACACATAACAGAGGCACATCATACTAAAATTTCAGCACATTTGAAGCATGGGCCAATTTATTATACATTTAACAAGAATCTGCTCATAAATCACTTTAATTATTAAAAATAGCAAGTGACCTCATAAAATCATAAAATTTTCACACAACCTACATGATTAATAGAAGACAATGTACTTAAAATTTCACAGCAATCGGCACCGTATACAATTTATGGTGAATTTTTCACATAAAACAGCAATTATAGACTTCAAAAATTAATATCTCCCAATTTACAAATCGAATCGACACAAGGTCAAAACCATTGTGTTCATGACGATTCTAAGTTCCTAAATCCACAGTAACTTAACACTTATAACCAATTCTCGTTTGATTCGCACGAATCGACGAAATTAACATTAAATTCACGCCAATCAAAATATATACAATGCTCACATGAAATTACCTATTCACATATCATCATATAGCATATAAAATCGAGATGCACGACTAACACATCAAACCGAAAACACAAAAATAAATAACGAGGGTCGAAGCTCGATACCTTTCTCGGGAAGCGAGCGAGAATGGTCCGAACGGGTTGACGGGACGACGGGCTCGACGGTTTCACGCGTCTCGGCAGAAAAGGAGGAGATCGAGGAGGAGCAGCGGCACACGGGTTCTCCGGGAAGGGCTGCTGTGGTTCACCGGAAAGGGCTACTGTGGCTCACGGTTTCTGGCCGACGGAAACTCGACTCGATGGCGGCCGGCTCAACGGGGTTGGCGGCTCGAGGAGGAGATCGCGAGGGCCTGAGGATTTGACGACGATTAATTGCGAGAGGAGAACTCGCAGTGAAGGCTGTCCGCGAGCAAGGGTTGACCGCCGGTGGTTGCAGCCTCGTTGACTGGTTCACGGCGAGGACGGGCGGCGCGCAGAGAACTCGTGAGCAGGCGGCGACGGCGAGTTGCAGCAGGGGCGGTGGTTGCCGGGTCTTTGCGTGGAGGAGCAGTAGCAACGGTGGGAAGCTCGCGGGTTCCGTTTCGTGGTGGCGCGCCGGCGGAGAGGATGGAGGGTGAGAGGCGACGGGCTTTTGCAGAGGATGGCAGCGACAACAAAAGGAGGGGAAGAACTTGAGGGCGGCGATGGATCGATTGAGCGAGAGAGGTGAGGGAGAGATTGATTGAGAGGTTTGAGATGAGGGCTGCGCGATCGAAATAAAAACGAGAGAGAGGAGCAGATTGCGAGAGATGAGAGAACGAGAGAAAAAGCTGCGGGTCGCGTTTTGGAGAGGAAGAGAGATACAACACTAATAAATATATACACACGCTTAGGTTTAGGAGTTCTTGATTTCCAAGAAATCTCACTACACTCACGCACGCGGATTAGGGAGAGCACAATCGGGCCGGGTTCTGGGCTAGATGGGCCGGCCTTGGAACAATGAATCGGTTCACGGGCCCGGGTTCGGTTCACGCGGGTATTTTTGGGCTCGATTAAAACGCACGATTAATAAATTCGGGTCTCGGGCCCGATTCAATCACACGAAAATAAATTCAGCTCTCGGGCTCGGGTTCTCCGATTACTAATTTCGACAGCTCAAATCGATTGCACGGCAAATAAACAAAACTCCGGACAATATAAATTAAATACGTACATTATTTTAAAATACTAATATTATAAATCAAAATATACAATTAGCAATTAATTGACAATTAGACATATAATAACTAGGCATTCAATTTGGCAAGCAATAATTAATAATATCACAATATAATAAACATCCATAATAATAATAATAATAATAATAATAATAATAATAATAATAATAATAATAATAATAATACTTCAAATAAACCACAAATAAATAGGGCATTACAAATAATAAACATTATATTAACGCATCGCGAATTAAACATACATCTAATATGTTAAAACATAACCAAAGGCATATAAATAAGTAAAATGTCTATATCTGTTGCTCAACTGACTGTCTATAACTGCTGCTCAACTGTCTGTCTATAATTGTTGCTTAACTGATGAGAAGGACACTTGGCCTTCACGCTTGCAATAAGCAACTTTAGGACATAATCTGTAGGTCATTACTCATGCTAGGGAAAAACTAACTCCTATACACTTCTAAAGTTGGAGCTTAATCAGAGCTGTACTAGAGTTCTTGATGCTAACTGGAGTTCGAAACACTTGGCTATAAAGGAACTGATCTCTAGGCCGATGTCTCTTGGGGACGAAATATTCTAACAACATCTAGAATTACAACTTAACTCAAAGTTGTACAAGGGTTCTTAATTCCCTTACCTCAAAGTTGTACTAAGTTTCTTAATTCACTTAACTCAAACTTGTACTAAGGTTCTTAATTCACTTAACTCAAAGCTTCACTGGTGTTCTTATCCTTCTTAACTAGCGTTCGTGGTCACTTAGCTAGGAAGGACCAACTCGCTAGGTTATTGCCCCTAATCATGCAACTAACTCTTAAATACATATCTCAGCCAGGATATTGCGATTATGGAAAATGTAGCACCCAGTACAAGGTCCCTACCTCATAGCTGAATACAAATGCTGGAACTGTAATGATGTGTAGCTGGCGGAGGCTCGACTCCCCTTAGGCGACAAAATATTTTAGCGAATATGTTCTAAGTATTATGCTCAATCTGAAAAACTTGAATCTTATTATGTGATCTTACTAGGTTCGCTCACTCAGTTTTAAAATCATTTAAAACTCATTTTAGAATATTACGAGCTAATTTGAAAGTTTATTGTCTTGAGCCATATTTGGGTCCTCTGAAATATTTCTAAGTCTGGAACCCTATTCTGACTGCATCTTAATCTGATGTGGTTCAGAAAAATACTTAAATCTCGGTTCACGCTCAAACCGATGTTCCGAACTAAAAACTCCCAAATCGTTCAGACTACCCGGACTGATTCGGCTGAACTGGAAACTTCTTGAACAGTCCGGACTGACCGTACCAGTGCGGCTGGACTGGACCGACGGCTCACTCGGAACCGACCGGTTACTAGCTGGCTATATGCTGCTCGGCTCAATCGTGGTTCGGGTTCGACGTAGCAACTCACGGGCACGCACGAACACAACCGACACGGCTTTGTCGACGCATGATTTTAAACGGTGCCAAGGACACTGACGTAGGGGCATGCTTGGACCACGACTAACGTAAAAGGTGCGTTGACGGTAGGTAGAACGGACGCACGGGCGTCGGGCAGAGCGTAGGGGCGCGGCTCGGTCGGACTCGGTGCACGGGCACACACTAGGTGGCTCGACTCCAACGATCAGACGAGAGTGGGACACATGTGCGGGACGTCGATACGCATTGAGGATACATGCTAAAGCATGTCGGTTGGTCGGTTACGCTCTCTATGAGGCACACGGTCTCGGTAGCCTTCTTAGGCTCGGTTATGGTCTCGTCGACGACTCACCGATCGACCGACCACATCCCGACAGCCAAAGACTCATTAATAAACCTATGACGTCTAAAGTCATTTATACTGTACTAGGGTTCGGGCGATTATACTCGGATTTAAAAATTACCCGGTTTTCAAAAACGGATAACACTAGAGTTCTAGTTCTCCAACCAAACTAACTCATTTTATGCTGAAACTTTAACCCTAAGTTCAACATGATTTATGAGGATTGTACATCCAACAACTTCAACTAAATCATAACCGAAATTAATTCTTAAAAATACTGCAAATTAAGGGTAAAGTCCCGATTTTTAAACTATATCAAATGATCTCCAAAAACACGAAATTTTAACCACAACAACTTTAGCATATATATGTATTTTGGTAAAAATATCATAGCAAGAATCCACCTTTAACTCATCCAACCTAAATCAGACATTTCGTGTCGTCATCCACAAAATCGGTTCGTATAGCAAACGAACTCCAAAATTCACAAAATTTAAACCTATGCCTCAAGACAATTTAAAAAGATTAATAGAGTTATAATTATAATTTTTGGATCAGCACACATTTTAATATGAATTTATATCCATTAAAATCAAAAAATCTAGATAAATTCATATCTCACTCAAATTCATCAACTACCATTTTTAAAATAAAAAAATACTTGTTTTATGCCATGGAGTTGGAGTTTCAGCCATATACTTCATAATGGTCTCAAAATAAAAATTGAAAGAAGGACTGGCTAAAGGAAAGCCTCGGCTGCTTGAATCTATCGGGGCTGGTGCTGGGCAGCTCGATTGCGTACGGATCTGGTCGCTCGGTCGCAGAACGTGCACGTACGGACGTGAGAGACTGCGGGACTGCAAAGGAAGGCTTGCGCGTACGGATGGCGGGCGAGCTAGGGATGCAACGCGTGATGGCTCAACGGTACGCGGATCTGGCCTTCCGTGTCGGCGTACAGACGCGAGCTGGGGTCGAGCATTGGCGTACGGACACGGGGTGGCGAGGACGAGCTGGCAAGGCTGAGATCGAACAGATCGGGGCTGTGTCGCGTGGATCTGCCCGGAGATGGCTTGAAGGGGTGCGTACGGACTCGAGCTCGGCCTGCTGGCCTGGGCTCAACGGCGTGGACAGCGACACGAGCAACAACTGATGGAGGGCTAGGTGGTCAGCTCGGCCTGCGAACATGCGGGCCAAGGTGGTGCGACGGTGTGGCTAGGGGCTGGTTCACTGGTGGATCGGGCAGCCGGCGACGGTGGCTAGCCGGAAAAATGGGGACTTGGCCGGATTTTGGATGTGAAGGGCTAATGGACTTGCTATTGAGTGTGTAAGAGAGCTTATGACTTAGGAAAATTTCTAGATCTTGAATGTAATGCCCCGAATCAGTAATAATATTAAAAACGGTTTCACTGCTCGACTATAAGTGAAATCCGTATTTTTCAAAAATATCCGAGTTATGTTTTATATGCTAAATGCTCAGTTATGTTAGAATATTCTTTGAAATTTTCTATGTCAAGTTAAGGCCAAGATCAATCCATTAATTTGGATTGATAAGCGATATCTATTAGGCTTTAGAAATTATTGGCTTCGAATTTTAGTTTCGTTCCGAGTCATTTTCCAAGTCTTTTCCGAGCATAGCCGAGCCTTGGTATTTTGATACTTAGAATATTTCCTAAGTGTAGTGAAATATCAAAGTTCAAGCCTAGACCTTACTCTCGGGCCCTAGCTTATGCACCGAGCCGCTCGCGCCCAAGGCCCGAGTCGAGTCCGTGCCATGTCCAAGACTTTGTCCAAGCCTTTAACCAATGATTTGGAAATTTTTCTAAGTCCAAAAATCCCCCAAGGACCAGCATTTCTCTCACCCCAAGACATTTCACGCACGCAGCCCAATAGACCTCGTGCCCAGGCCCACTCAGGCCAGCCCAGCAGGCCGTGCCCAGGGCCAGGGCCCAGGCCCAACGCCAGCAGCGGCATCCCAACTTCTTGAGCCCATATGACTAAGTTCCAGTCCATTTTCATCCAAGACCACTTCATGCGTGTATTAAGGACTTAATGAGGATTATTTAGAGTTAATATGGCCCTAACAAAGATTAAGGGAAGTCAACTCAATGAGCATGCAAAGTGGAGTGATGGGCAATGTAATATTTTATTAAAAAATGCTTGTCTTTTGTCCCCTTGTCTCCCACCAGCTGCCCAGACCACGTCCCATGTTCATAATGCTCTGAAATTCCACTCAAAGTCTCAGCAAAAACCGTGCAATGTGCTGCCCTAAAGTCCCATGAGCATTGAGAAGAGGTATGGTACTTATGTCCCCCCATTTTGGTCTCCCACCTTCACACCTTGGTATCTCCGCCCCTAAACCTTTAAAAGGCTCATTCCTCAGCCATTTTAAAGCTCTTAGACTCTTGGTTACTCGAGCACTTAGTGAGGATTTGATAGAAAATAGAGCTCAACTTGCCTTGGCCCTATACCGCGCGCGCACGAGCCCGGGTGGAGGAGTTCACGAGGTCTAGCCCATTCCAGCCATATTCTCATGAGGCTCAGCAACTTCTAAGTATTTCTTAGACTTTTCTAAGTCTTTTGAGACCATCAAAGCTCAGCCAAACCGTCCCGAACCAAGCCAAGCCACCAAAGGCCGCGCCTAGCCCTATTCCAAGCCATAGCTCTCTTTTTCCACTTTCGGTGAAGGTTAGCTCGAGATATCTTTTTACCTCAGCCTATTTTATGATATTTTAGGATTTTTCATGTAGTAAACTCAAGCCATGCACGTTAAACTTCATGAGTTTTGAATTTTATAAATTAATGGCCTTAGATTCGAAATTTGAGTTGCATGCGTGCTTTGACCGAAATTGATAGCCTAATTCTCCTCATATATCATGTTTATGTTTGTATATAAGTTTGAGCATGATTGGATGTAGTAAACTCAAGCCATGCACGTTAAACTTCATGAGTTTTGAATTTTATAAATTAATGGCCTTAGATTCGAAATTTGAGTTGCATGCGTGCTTTGACCGAAATTGATAGCCTAATTCTCCTCATATATCATGTTTATGTTGGTATATAAGTTTGAGCATGATTGGAGTTCGTTGCCTCGGTCAACTTGTTCATGAATTTGTGTCATTTTGGACCCCCGAGCCTTATTTTCATGCATGTGAGTTCTTGCTATCATTTCAGCCTCATTCACCATGTTTTTGTATGTGTTATACTCGGCCATGTTCACATGTTTAAGATTTAGTAGTTGGTTCGGTGAGTTAGTGCTCGTATGTGCCTTATCGGCCTTCCCGAGCCACATGCATTTTTACCCAGGGTCTCCTAGTGCCTCTTAGGATTTTTGTGCCTATTTTATCATATTGAGATGGTATGTGTTGCATGTCACCAAAAAAAGTCACCGGGTGGCCGGTAAGGACCGGCCATGTGTTGGGATCTGTGAGGATCTCGTTATGTACAAGTCACGAATTCAATAGCAAACGTAAACCTATGCGCAGCGGATCTAAAGGTTTGACGTAGAAAACATATGGCTTAAAATTTATGTAGATCTGGTTGACCTCGAACGGTTGACCGCAAATGATTGACCGCAAATCACGTCTTGGGTTGCACGAACAAGATCAGATCAAAACCGGATCAAACGGATGCAAACAGATCAAAACAAAACTTGCAGTCTGGGAGCTTCCGGCGGCGCGTGAAGGCGCTTGCAGTGTCAAATTCTGGCTATCTCGACGGCGATGGAAAGCTCTTGTCGAGACGGTCGTCTGGGTATGCTGTGCGTCTCAATCGAACCTCCAGTTAGTTCTGTATGATAAAATATATTTCGTCTCGGTTTACCTACAGATCTTCTACTGTATTACTCAATACACCCTTCTTCAACTTGTGCCAGTAGAGCAACAAGAAGAAGATCAAGCTCGAATGAGATCTTGAGACAGAGACAGGCGTGTGAGGTGTGTATCTCGTGTGAATAAGACTTTTGTTCTCTTCTCATGAGCTTAATGATGTATATATAGAGCTACAGTAGGGACCCTTAGGAGATTAGAAAAAGAGCTCTTTAATTAATTAGACTAACTGTGGGCCAAACCCACTCCTCTAATTAATTAAATAATATTAATGGGCCACCAATATTATATTATTGCACTCCCTTTTTCTAGCCCAAATTACATTTGAGACTCCAATAATAATTCCTCGATTTACCTCCCTACGTTTAAGATATAATGTCCATTAATTCATTCGATTACTAACAATCAAGAATTAATTAATTTATTATTATTTCACCGAAGCTAGCGCTCGTTCATCACATTCTTATTATGCCAGAACTTAATCCACCTGCAGGGTTTAGCATAACAATCCTTCATGAACTCACTCCGGGGACATCATCAAACTAACGCACATGGTGGCCGTAAATATTCTAACAGCACATCCTATATATAATAATATTACCCACGACAGTAGGAATATTAATACAACGAACTGAACTTCACCCATGCGAATCAAAGTAATATATAGTATATATATATCTGCCTGTTTAATATCTTACGGGTTAAGAGAACGCAGTAATTAACCGAGGCCTAGTTCATTTACGACGATCAGTATAAAATGAACTTCTCCTCTCTTGGATCCTGTTCAATACATAAATGTACTAGTGCAACTAATCAGTTGTTGATGACCGACTTGATTTTTATGATTAAATTAAAGACTGGTCGTCTTATCTCATTAATGGCCCTTTGGAGTTATCGTTTAACAGCCAAACTTAGCTCAAGTCTGTATAGCTGAACAACTATCGACTTCTAGGCGGCTTAAAAGAACTGACTGACCATTAAAGTCTCAAAAACCTACTTCACCAACTTCACAGACATTTACATTAAAGATTATCCATTTATCCGAGATCCGAGAAGAGCGAATTTCCAAGCAGGAGATGCTGTACGCTTTCAATTGGACCATCAAGTCAAAGAATAATCATTAATGTTCCCTCGTTACATTACACGCCGCTTTATTAAAGCAGCTCAACATTAAATGCGATCTAATCTACCTCGGGCAAGAAGACAAAACAAACCGTACTATAAATAGCAGAATTTATGACTGTACGGGGATCTTTTTTCGCACATTGTACATGGACTTAAAAACATCTCGGTTATGAACAGAAAACCGCCTTCATGTACTCTCATGAAACGATCAATAAAACGCAAATTTATGCTTATTTTGTTTTAGACACACCTTGCTGTTTGTTTATTTGGGTTGTTAATTTCATACAACAACAGTTTGGCTCTAGAGGAAGGGCAGCCCTTCATAAGAAATTTGAGGTTGATCTTCGAATCAACTGAACAAGACAAGATACGTGTTTGCTAGACAATCTCAACAGCGATCAACATGACAAGTTCTGGGCGTCAAGAAGGAAATCCAGACGCTGGAACCAGTCGTAATTCTTTCCAAACAACTGAAGATACGACTGCCCCATCTATGACGATAGATTACTCTGTTCTGTTTCAAGATCCAGAGTTTCTCAGAAATCTATCCAATTTCATGGCACAAACAAGAATGGGACCAACCATAACAGTTCCTAGTCAAACTCCTACTCTAAATGCTTCAATAAGACAACAGACGCCGCCTGTTCAACAACAGAATAATAATCCTCTTGCGTCTCATGAAACTTCACAACCACGAACACCTGGGCCGCAACAAAACATAGCTGCTCACAGTCACGGTGAAGTTCCTGCTAATAATAATCTTCCAGAAGGAATTCAGCCTGAAATTACTGCTGAAAGTCACTCAGGGCATCGTCGACAACAACCGGTGCCTTTGTCACCGGCGACTTCGGAACCTGTTCGACAATCTGACTTGCGTCATACCATAGAAAGAGATCAGTTTAGGCGTGAGACTGACGAACTACGTCATACTATTGAGAAAAGCTGTTTAAGACGCGAGTCGGAAGAATTAAAAGTATTACGAAAAAGAATTGCCGAGTTGGAAACTCGACAAGAAGTTCCAGAAGAGTCTCGACGAAGGGCCCCCATCTCGGGAAATGTTTACCTGGAAGCCGAAACTCCACTGGCTCCACACCTGACAATGGAACCATTGTCTGGAAAAATTAAGTTTCCTCAGATCAGTCTTTATGATGGCACCTCGGATCCAGATGCACATCTCGGTCAATATACCTCTTGGATGGACCTTCACGGAGCAACCGACATGCTAAGATGTCGGATGTTTTCATTAACTCTCGGACCTCGTACTAAAAAATGGTACCACTTTTTACCTCGATGTTCAATATCAAAATGGCATCAATTGAGAACGGCTTTCCGATCTCATTTCATTGGGGCCCGAGTATCTTTAATCCCGAAGGAGTCAA